TCATTAAAGCCATATTTTCCCCAAGCCGAACGAACGAAATTCTTAACAATAGGGAACGGAATACGAGGGCCCAGAAAGTAACCATACAGAACCGAATTATAAGCTTTAGCAGCCTCCTTAGCCATTTCAATTGGAATTTTCACATTAACATCCTTTTTATCAGGCAACGGATAAAATTGGAGATCCATGGCTACCGAATTACCCACCACTTTCACAAAGTTTAATTTCTCCATACCATCACCTTGAGAAGTAAGCCTTTCAAAAACTGAAATTCTGATATGATCATTAGAAGTAGGAATAGAATTCTCATCCATTGCTTCACACACACTAAGAAGCCAAGGTGCTGAAACTAACGTTTAGTGCCCTTAATAAGATAGACGAAGACCACGGAGACCGAGGTGCTGAATATCTATCAAGGGAATTCAACGCAAGTGACGAAGACCCCGGAAACACTTAGGATGTACGAAAGAAAATGAAAAGAGAAGAACTATACCAACAGAAGAAGATGGCCACGATCAAAACTGCAAAACAGGAAGCAGCAGAAACAACAGCAGCAACCAAACTAAAGCCGTGCCAACAATATAATAAACAGTAGCAGCAATTCAGATCAGGATGCCTACTACCAAAACGACCAGCAGCAGCAGTCACAAACCAAAGCAGTAGGGACAACAACAATGCAGAGCAGCAGATCACATAAAATAATGAAAATTACCAGCCCAAAACAATTCAATCTTCTGCTTTATACGAAGAAATCAACAGAAGCCAAACCAAACAAAGTTTGGAACCCAAACAACCCACACAGCAGCACACCTCAAGAAAACGATCACAGGAAAATCAACAAACACGAAAACCTCCTGGTACTGTTCTAAACCCGCAGAAAGAAGCACAAAAAATCAACAACAGCCACGTAAACAGCAGGCGTGAAAATCAACGGTACTTGAGAAGAACACAAACCAAATGGATTCGCAAACAAAACAGCATGAACACCCTAGTGGGTTATCAAACAGATCACATGCAGAACCCTAAAACACTACGGTCAAGACTGAAACAGTAGACGAAACCTGCCAACCCTAGCCACAGCAGAAACACAAAAGCCAAACAAGAAAAGAAACGGCTTACCAACAGAAGATCAAACCGTAACCAGAAACCCTAGAGAGAGAGCCGCCGTAATGAAGCAACAAACACGGAAACCCTAAACCTCCTCCTTCGGTAGCGAGACACAAGGAAGTTGAAGCAGATCCAATCGTTTACAAAACAACCACAAAACACGAACAAGCAGAAGCATAGGGAATGCAGCCCGATCGAAAACAGCAGCGATCGTGAGTGTTTCGTAAAACCCTAATCCTCCTTCTACGAAAGCAAAACACAATCAAGGAGAAAGGAACAGATCCAAACGAAAATAAACAGCCACAATGATCACGAACACACTCATATGATCAACGCAACAAGCATGAAACCCTAACTCAAGATCGCCATCTTCCTCATGAAACACACTCATTATACCCTAACTCTAAATTCTTTTTTCATGCTATGAAAGAAAAGCGCAATCGGAGCCATATTGCTAC